GGGGCCTGCACAGCGTCTCGCCTTCCGCGACTCACTGGCCTGAGGTTCTAGGGAGACCACCCCCAGCAAGCTGTGCCTGCCCCACGGCTCTGGGCGGGCTAACTCCCCCAGCACCTTCACGGCAGTGACAGGACTCATGTGTGCCGGGGAGACCAGCACAGAGTAGTATGGGACAAATGGACAGATTAACAAATGTATGAGGGAGGGGCAGCGAGGGGGAAGAAGGGAAAATACCATCAAACCCTAGGAATTCGATATAATCCCTTGAAGGGCAGTTCAAAGTCTTAGTCCAAAAACACCTGAAAAGGTGCGCGGGAATCTCCCAGGTAAAGGGGAGGGAGGGGCTAGCCGACAGCGCCCCCGGTAGGGAGGTGAGTGGCACTTGCAGTGAGCAGAGCGAACTGGTTGCTACAGTGCGCCTGTCATTTCACCTTCGGGGCGGAGGAGTCTTGAGGCCTGGGTGATCTCGTCACTGTCCTCATCTGAACAACAGGACTGTGGACAATGTGGCCCGAGGCACAGTCAAGCCCTACCAGCTGGCCTCTCCCCAGAGGCCGCTTCCGCCACGGGGAGAAGTTGGCTCACTGCGCTGGAACTGACATCCCTGCCCCCGGGACCCGGTTGGCAGAGCACTGGCTGAGCTCCTGTCCCAGGGGATGGACGAGAGCTAAGCTGTCAGTGACCTGCTGGCGCAGTGACTACATTTTCCGTTCATGGCCCCGATGAACCACTGAGAGGTGGCCACACTCTAAGATACCCTGGATAGAAACTCTGTAAGAAATGTCAGACGTCAGATTTAAGAGGTGCTTTGCAGACACGTGTGGCCCCCTGGGTTGTGTCCGCAGGGCAAGGTCCGCTCTGCCAGGGGCTGCCGCCAAATGCCTTCCTGGTATCGCTCACGGCTCGGCGCTCCAATCCCAAAACATTTTCCTTTTGTTTTGTTTTTAACGCCTGGAAGAAAACTTCCAGCCCATCATCTCACATGCTTTTGATTCGTGTTTAATGTCTTTGGGAAGAAATAAAAACAGTAAGTCATTCCCAATAAAAAGGGCACCCGCCAGGCTACCAGGCCAGGCGCACGACGGTCATGGGCCAGCTGCCCCTCGGCGGCCTCAGCGGCCCGAGTTCGGCGGTCGTCCGAGGTGCGCTTGTAATCACAGTGCAGACAGCTCGCAAAGGCTGCCTTTTGCCATTTTTAAAAATCCCCCGAGGCTGCCAATCCGGCAGGGACAGTAGGGCCGCTGGACAAACTCACACACAGGAAGCGAGTCGACACGTTAGCGGGCACCTACGAAGTGAAGGCCAGTGCTGCCTGACAGTACCAGGTGCCCTCGAAGCGCCTACAGTCTGGCTGGAGCCAGGCACCGTGCCCGGGTGCTGGGTGGCAGGGGGGAGGGCAGGAAGGCAGATTCCCAGACAAACGCACGGGCTCCAGCTTTCAGGCTCCTGACCCTTTTCCCCAAGGACCTGGCGCTGAGTAACATTAATGCAGGGCCTGGCTGGAATAACTCCCTAAGCCATCAGCCCAGCGCCTGAAACACAGGGAGGACAGGAAGGGAGGTGGGGTGGGGAGGAAGGTCCGGCTGGTGTGGGGGCTCCTTCCAGACAACTCCTGCGCAGGTCCAGCAGGTCACAGTGGATCTGTGGCCCGTGGGGCTCTGTCCAGCGTGCCCCTGTGAGCCCACCTTCCTCGCCGCCCCCAGGACTCTGACTGTCCATCGGAGACCTCCTGACCCGAGCGCCTGTAGCTTCCGTGGAGCAGCCAGTTTCCCCCAGACCCCCCGTGGTCCTGGAGCAGCCCCAGAGCAAACATTACGTGTGAGTAAGCTCCCAGTGCCTAACTTCTGAGCTAAACATTTGACGTGCGTCTGACGAGTCCAAGAATATTCAAGGGGTCAACAGGACAGAAAATGCAGAACGTGGGTTTTCCCAGAAATCTGGGTTCTGTGCCCGTGACCCTGCGGGTGCCTTGGGCACCGAGAAGGATTGGTGTGGCCCGACCTGCGGGGCCCGTGTGGTCTCGGACTCGGCTCGGGACCTGACTCGGGTGCCAACCAGCAGCTCAACCTCGGGGACGTTGCTTGATCCCCCTCGTTCATGTGCAGCTCCCCTCTGCGCCCTGCGCTGGGCACCGGGCAGACTGGCACAGTGAAGGCACCTTCCTTTTAATTTTTTAAAAATTGATTTTAGAGACAGGGAGAGAAACATCAATGTGAGGGAGAAACATCGACTGGTCGCCTCCTACACGCGCCCTGACTGGGGACAGAACCCACAACCTGGCTATGTGCCCTGACCGGGAGTCGAACCGGCCACCCTCTGGTGTACTGGGCGATGCACCACACAACTGAGCCACACTGGCCGGGGCAGGCCCTTTCCTGTAGCTCTGCCTCCCATCTCCCAGCCAGGAGGTGAGGCCGGGCTGGGCCTGGCTCACTCAGGACCCACACACCTCACACAGAACCTTCCCAGAGCAGCTCAGGACGCCAGAAGCAGGGGGTTCCCCCGCCAGGTGCCCGCAGTCCTGCAGCCGGGCAGGACTGGCCGCCGTCCCCTCAGATTCCTCCGTGGATGAGAGTCGTGTGTGCCGCAGTGAATGTGTGTGCACACGACTGCACCTCTACCCACTAGGCTCGTCATGCAGGCTCTGCCCCTGTGGTTGAGGGTTGCCACAGGAAGTGATATTGCAAAGTCATCCTGAGTCACTCTAAAAATAACCCTCAATTTACACAGGAGGGATTTCCCCTTTCCTGGTGCCTGCCTCAAACCACCGCCGGCCAGGCAGATGGCTCTCTGAGAGGCCTGCCTTGGACCTGCAGACCAGTCAACACTTTGGGGAGCCCCAGCCCAACACCCTGGCCCCCTCTCCTGCAGCACCCAAATCCCCATGCCCGTTAAACTAACATCTTCCAGGACTGAGATTAAACAGATCTCTATGAGCACCATTATCTTTGGCATGTGTGAGGAGGGGTCACTATGTAAAGGACCCAGGAGGCCATCATTAGTGAGATTTCGGCCGCATTGCTTATCACCTATTTTTCTTATTGGGTTAGCATTTCGAGGGTCTTGCCCCTCAGGTGTGAACCATCCCACACACACCTGTCTGGCCCACCCCCACCCCCTTGTTCGTCCCCTCCAGTGACACTGATCTTCCTGCTGGTCCTTCCGTCTCAGGCACATTCTGCCACCGGCCCTTTGCACTGGCTACGCCTCAGATACAAAACTGCTTCCTAGCTTCCTTCAGGTCTTTGCTCAAGGCCCTTCTCACTGAGGCCTTCCCTAAGTCCTCTATCCAAAACCAAAGCCCCAACACAGATTCTTTATCCCCATTCCCTACTTTATGTTCCCTCTATTTTATTGAGTCCCCCTCCCCGACTCCCACCCCCTGCCTCGGCCAACTAGAACGCAAGGTCCTGGGGGCCAGACTTCATTCTGGCTTGTTCTCATTAGAAGTCCAGAACCTGGAAGCTTCCTGGCACATGGCGTGTGATCAGCAAATACCTTCGGAGTCAATGAATGCATGATTGGGGGGGGGGGGCGCGCATGCCTGAGCAGGCAGAGACCTGCTCTCCAGAGCCCCGGGCCAGGGCCAGTGAGCAGGCGTCCTATTTGCTACCCCCTGACCTGGGACATGCTGCTCAGGTGCCAGAAGGACCGCCGATGCCCAGAGTTCCTCATCTCTGGGAGGGGGTGGGGGTTGTGTAACATGTGCACTGAAATACCCGGGGGCCTCGGGATGAGAGGGACACCCCGGACCACCTCCTCCGCTCCCTCTGAACGGCTGCTGCTCCAGCACCCAAACACTGGACTAGCAGCCTGGGAGGACCCCCCGGCCAGGCGCTCCCCTGGGCGCCCGGACCAGCCCTTGAGCCTCCGGCTGGGCAGCGTGCAAGCAGGTGACCGGAGCCCAGTGACCTCCCTCCCGTCCCAGCTCCGGTAGGGCTGGCGGGAGGAGCTCGAACTATGGCTCACCCCTAAACAACATGGGTTTCAACTGCCTGGGTCCATTTATATGGATTTTTTTTTTCAATAAATATAGTTGGCCCAATGTATCCCTGGGTTTCACATCCGCAGGGTCAACCAACTTTGAACTGAAAACAGTGTTTTTGATCCCCAGCTGGGAATCCGCGGATGCAGAGGGCCGCCGGTCTGCATTGTTTGACATCATTTCATAGAAGGAACTTGCGCGTCTGCAGATTTTGGTGTCCATGGGGTGGGGGTGGGTCCTGCAACCAATCCCCTGCTGACACTGAGGGACAACTGTAGTTCAGTTTGTGGGGAGTCGAAAGCTATAAGCTGATTTTCGACCGCCTGGGGCGGGAGCCCCTGACCCCCGTGTTCACGGGTCAACGTCAGTGAAAACCTTCTGCATGAAACCCAGTCTGATTCCTCTGGGAGAAACGCCCAGACACCCACTGTTAGTCTGTCCTGGGAGGCTGAGGCCCTGCCCAGGTCTCTGGTCCCAACCCAGCAAGGCGACGACAGAGCAGGCCGGGTGGGTGGGAAGAACACACACCCTCAGGGGGACCCAGGCAGGAGGCACACCCCACCATCCACACGGGAGCAAGAGGAGAGCCCCACTCAGGGCCAGACAGCGGGGGCGGGGGGGGGGGGGCGACTCGGCTCCTGACGTGCGTCTGTGGCATCCATGTGGTGCGACAGCAACGACACCCGGACTCTGCTGGTGCCTGTGTCCCGACCTGCGGGGTCCTCCAATGGAACCCCAACTTGTCATCTGCCCTCCCCTCGCCAACCCCCAGACACACGGACGGCCACGCTGGGCTCCCAGCAACCCGTGCAATGAAGGAGCGCTAAAAGATGAACCCCTGGGGGGAGATGAGTGTTACAGAGGCCTGTCCTGTCTGGGGCCTAGGATGTTCCAGAGCTCGAGATGGGCCCTCCTGGGCTGGGCTGAGACCTCAGGGGCCCCTCCTCCCAACCCTCCCCCGTGGCTGCCTCCCCCTCCTGCCCCCAGGCCCATCAGGCCTCCCAGAGTGACTTACCCAAGGCCAAGAGCAGGCAGAGACTGCGCAGGGATCAGAACCTCCGGGGCTGGTTCCTTGTCCTTGTCTGGGTCTCTAGACCATGCCCTGGAAGGGAGGACCAACAGGTCACTCGGGGTGTGGACACCCAGCCTAGAGCCCGCTGCCCTTGCCTCCAGTTGCGTCCATGCCCTGTGGGGGACCACGGCTCTCAGCACCCCACACCCAGTACAGAAAAGCCCTGGCCCCTGGCCCCTGTGGGCCGCTCGGGGCAGGGGCCGGGGCATGTGCCCCTGCAGCAGAGGGAGGAAGGCCACCAGAGTGCTGACAGGAGAAGCCCCCGTGAGATGCTGCCGCCCCTCGGGTGGGGCTGGAGCCAGGGCTAGGGGTGGCCTGTGGCCTCTGGGTCTGCCACCGGGTCAAGTGATGGCAGCATCACTGAGTCACTGCAGCCCACCATGCCACCGCCTGCCACCTTACCTAACTCTGACCCTCAGGGTCACTGTAGGGGCCACCTGGCACCCGGCAGGCCCTCAGGAGCGTCCACAGGCAAGCCCTGGCCCCACAAGCAACGACCAATCAGAAGGCATCACGACCAGCATGCTCAGCGACCAGCTCAGAGGCAGGTGCGAGCGTCTGCTGCCACGTGGACTCTGCTGCCACGTGGACCTTCTACCAGTGCATCCTTCTCACTAGACGCCCATCACTCTTACGGGGCAGGGACTGGGTGGTGGGGACAGCAGAGAAGCATGGTCCCAGGTGTGCCTCTGCCTCTGGCCCGTGACGGGCACGCCCTGTGGTCTCTGCCACCGGGCCGACTCTGCGGGGAGGCCGGCCAGACCACACCAGGCTCCCTCGCAGGGGGAGGCTCCATCAGTCCTGGGGCCTTGAAGGCTCTGGCTCCCAGGCTCTCGGGAACAGTCCATTAACTCGAACTGCACATTTCCTCGGGCTCTATCGCTAAGCCACAGGGGCTCCGGGGCCACCAGCCTCCCTGTGACAGATAAAGATGACCGTCATTGCTGGAGACGGGATCAAGCAGCAGAAGTCATTAGGCAGAAATAATTATGTTGAGTTATGTCTGGTTGCTCGCGATTTCTGTCTCGCGGTTGTGAGACAGAAGCTCATGCCTTCCGTCCAGGATCCAGCAGAGCAAGGCCGGGAGTCTAGCTGGGTACCTCGAGGGCTCTCTGTGAGGCCCCTCCCCCAGCACTTGGAGAGCAGATATAAAAGACAAAGCCCTGGGCCCTGGCCAGTTTGGCTTAGCAGTTAGAGCGTCGGCCCACGGACCAGAGAGTCCCAGGTTCGGTTCCTACTAAGAGCACATACCTCGGTTGCAATTTGTCCCAGCCCGGTTGGAGTCATGTGGGTGGCAACCAGTCAATGTGTCTCTCCCTTTCTTCCTCTCTCCCTCCAACTCTGACAATAAATGCAAAATGTCCCCGGGTGAGGATAAAAAAAAAAAAGACAAAGCCCTGGGAGGGCCACACCCCCAAAGTCACCCAACCCCCCACACTGGACCGTGCCCATCAGGACCCACCTCACACATCATTTTCTCCCTGGGGCCCTTCCTGACACCCTGATCTCAGGCTTTTGTTCACGGCAGGCCTAAGGCACCTTCCTCCCTTAGGTTTGAGGTCTCTGGGCAGTGACCAGGTCTGACCCATCCTTTTTGTTGTTGTTGTTAATCCTCACACAAGGATATTTTTCCATTGATTTTCAGATAGAGTGGAAGGGAGGGAGGAAGAGAGGGAGAGAGAGAAACATGAGATGTGAGAGAGACACATCGATCGGTTGCCTTCCGACTGGGACCTCGGGAATTGAACCCAGGTACATGCCCTTGACCGGGAAGTGAACCTGCGACCCTTCAGTCCGAGGCCAACATTCGAGGCCAGCATTGTCCCCCTGAGCTGAACTGGCCAGGGCCTGACCCATCCCTGTACTTCCTTCCTGGCACAGAGCAGGGCCTCGGAGGGCAGGGAGGGAGAGCGCGGAGGGGGGGCCGTGTGGCCCTGGCTTCTCATTTAACTTCCTACCGTATAAAACGGAGAGAGATGCTAATCCTGCCTAGTTCATCAGGTTCTTGTAAAGACTGAGTGAGCTCATACACGCACAAAAAATGCTTGGCACCCAGAGCTCAGTAAATGTCAGCGATGACTGAAAACAGACAGGCCTTGAAAACATGCGAGAATCCGAGCCAACTGGACAGACACAAGCTACCAAAGCTGACTTGAGAAGAAATAGACAATCCGAAATAAAGAAATACAGTTGACCCTTGAGCAATGCAAAGTTAGGGGTGCTAACCCTTGTATAACTCTGACTCCCCAAAACTTAACCACTAATAGCCTCCTGTTTATCGAAAGCCATACCTATAAACGAACAATCGATCAACACATATTCTGCATGTTATATGGAGCATATACTGTATTTTTATAAAAAAGTAAGCTAGAGGAAAGAAAATCTTATTAATAGAGCCATAAGGAAGAAAAAATACATTTGCAGTAGTATACAGTATCATCAATACCATGCGCGTATGTTGTCTGTTTACAAGATCGGCATGATTGCTGGACACAAGGTCAATATACAAAATTCAATTGTATTTCCATACACTTGCAATGGAAATTCAAAAGTGAAATTAAGAAAACAATTTCAGAAATTAAGAAAAAATTAGATAGCATCAAAAAGAAATTACAGAGAAACAAATTCAACAAAAGAAATGTAAAACATACACTCTGAAAACTACAAAACATGGTTGAAAAAAATTGGAAAGATCTAAACAATTGCAAAAATATCACCTGTTCAAGGATCAGAAGACTCAACATTATTAAAATGGCACTACTCCCCGAACTGATCTATAGATTCAATGCATTCCCAGCTCACTCCTTTGTAGAAATTGACAGGTTGATTCTAAAATTCATATGGAATTGCAGAGGGCCCAAAACAGCCAAAACAATCCTGAGAAAGAACAAAGTAGGACTCATACCTCTCAATTTCAAAACTTAGCACAAAGCAATAATCATTAAGACAGTGTGGTATTGGCACAAGGACAGATATATAGATCAACGAAATAGATGTGGGAATCAGAAATACGCCCACATATCTATGGTCAGCTGATTTTCAAGAAGTGCGCCGAGTCCATCCAGGTAGAAAGAATGTCTTCTCTAATTTTTTTTTTTATCTTCACCCGAGGTCATCTTTTCATTTTTTGTTCAGATAGAGTGGGGAGAGAGAGAGAGAGAGAGAGAGAGAGAGAGAGAGAGAGAGAGAAACATCGACGTGAAAGGGACACATCGAGTGGTTGCCACCCCCAGGGCGGGGGACAAACTGCAACTGAGGTACATGCCCTTAGTGGGAACCGTACCCGGGTCTCTCTGGACCGCAGGCCGACGCTCTACCGCTGAGCCAAACCAGCCAGGGCTCAATGAGGCTTTTAAAAACAGGAATTCAAGCCCTGGCCGGTTTGCTCAGCGGTTAGAGCATCGGCCTGCGGTCCGGAGAGACCCGGGTTCGGTTCCCGCTAAGGGCACGTACCTCGGTTGCAGTTTGTCCCCGGCCCTGGTCGGTCGTGCGGGTGGCAGCCACTCGATGTGTTCCTTTCACGTCGATGTTTCTCTCTCTCTCTGTTCCTCTCTCTCCCTCCCACTCTACCTGAACAAAAAAATGGGAAAATGTCCTCGGGTGAGGATAAAAAAAAATAAAAAATAAAAACAAGAATTCAAGACAATACTCTTGAACTTCTCCGTCCCAGAGCTCAGAAGGCGAAGTGCAGGGTCCCAGGTGCAGGGGGGCAAACTGGAGGGTTTCCCAGTGCGGCCACCAGGGGACATCTGGGCTCAGCTCTCAGCACCCCAGCTGACCACGAGAACCCAGGGTCCGGCAGCCTCAAAGCCAGGGGTGTGACCGAGTGCCCAGCATGTGTTAGGTGCAGGGACACTTCTGAGGAGCCCACAGCCCAGCAGGGTGCACTTAGGTGTGTGTTCGATGTCAGAACCAGACACAAGCTCTCGGGATCTCTCTGCACCCAAGGAGGTGACGGGCAGTCCCTCGGCATAGCACTCGGCCGGGGCCCTAAGGCTTCTGCAGACCGGTCAGCTCAGTTCCTGGACCAGCCCAGGCAGCCACCCCAGGGCACTGCAGTCGCCACCTACGACGTTCCGTTCTCGGGCCGTTTCTGGGCTCAGTTCCTACTGTCAGTGGCCCGGGCCTGGAGGGACCTAGTGCCCACGGTCCTTGCCACCAGCCCTGGGGAAAAGCAGCCTCCCTCCAGAGCCGGACACCTTCTGGTGCCAGGCACAGGCTCCCCCACCGACTGGCCTGTGGGAAACCAGGTGTCCCCGCTGCCTGCCCACACCAGGGCGCACGTGTGCTCGAGGGATGACAGACCATTTTACATCCTGAAACCAACTTAGTTAGGAAGCCGAGGCCCTGAGGGAGACAGATATAGTGGGGCCTCGCGTCAGAGATGGTGGTTTGGGGGCTGTGGCCAGGTCTGAGGTGACTGGCTGCAGGGTGACGGATCCCACCGTGGTCCCCACATAGCGAGGCAGAGGCGTGCGGAACGCTGTCACCCAGCGTCTGCACAGCGGCCGCTCTTCACGGCATTTCCTTCCGCTGCCTCGTGCAAGGACTGATTAGAGGGGCTGGTGCGTCCTGCAGAGGCCACTGGGTGGGGTCCAGTCTGGGCACAGAGCGCCCTGCGGACACGAAGAAGCACAGGTGAGACCATGCAGGCTGCAGCTTCACCAAAGGGGGCGTGGCCCTCTGGTCACCAAGGGCGTTGGGCACCGGCCACCCACACTCCAGGCAGTGTGCACATCTTCCACGACAACTCCATTACCAGGGCACCTGAGTTCTTGTCTTCAAAGGAAACTCGCATCTCCATCCACTCTGACAAGCTGTTGGGTGTGTTTACTAAAGATGACCCCACACACCCCGTGACCCAGGGATTCAACTCTTTGATCTATTCCCAACAGAAACACGGACCCACGTTCACCAGACATGCGCAAGAATGCTCGTGGCTGTACGGTTGGTAGCAGTCCCGCCTTGGGAACTGTCCTGATGTCCGTCTGCAACAGAAGGACAAATAGACTGTAGCGTGTCCACACAACGGACAACCGCGGAGCGATCAGCATGAACCTCTACGACACGCAATACAGATGACTCTCCAAGCACAAGGCCGAGGGAGGCGGCCAGACACAAAAGGTTACACACTGCGGCTCCATCCATTAAAAGCATGAAAACAGGCACAACGGATGTGTGGTGACGGAAAGCCAGGCAGTGACTAGCTGTGGCTGCGGATAATGACTAGAAAGCGTCGTGGGGGCTTCTGGGTGCCGGTTACACAGGTTTGCTCGTTTTGTGAAAATTTAACGAGCCGTACACTTAGAGCTTGTGCACTCGAATCCACGCAAGCCCCACATCAATACAAAGTTCACGGAGAGAGGGAGGCATCCCCCTCGCCCCTGCCCGCCCCGTGGCCCGCCGGGGCTGAGGGCTGGTGGTAAGGAGCTCGCACTGTATTTGAAGCACGGGCACCGTGGAAGGACCCTGCAGCCCAGACCGGCTGCATCCGGACCCGCTGGGGGGCTGCCAGGAAATGCTGGGGCGGCCGGCGCCTGGCGACAAAGGCGGGTCCTCCTCCCTGCGCCACTTTATTCAGGAGCCGACAGCGCGCGGAGCTCGGCTGCCTATCTGGGATGAAGGGCTAAGTTATCTGAAAACACAAATAAATTATTCATTCCCCACAAACGAGCAGCCTCTGGCTTCCCCCACCAGTCGCGCACCACACAAACACCCGAGGGCTCGGCGAATCCCATTAGCGACACCGGTGGGCGAGCAGACACCAGATTC